GTACTCTCATTAAAGCATTCGTGCGGGCGAGTTCGCGCGACGTAACGTATCGCTTTTAATCGCTCGTGTACATGTACGAGAGAGAGAATCCCGGTCCCGGTTTATTCGCGCCCCACTGCCGCCGAGAGTACGATTCATCGTTAAAAGCTGAGATAAAAGTGCTTATTGGAACGTGTTTGTCGAACATATCCGCGAGAACACGCTAAAGTGTTTACTACTCGCCGGAGCACGCTGGGGGAAGAATCGGTCCGGAAACGCGAAGGCCGATCCGGTGTTTTTCTTCGCTCCTCCCTCCCCCCCCCTCCCCTTCCCCCCGCAAAACTGAAGCGCGTCCAAACATTCGGCTGTTCGTCGAGCGAAGATAAATTTCTTACCTTGTTACCGAGTAAAGAAGTGATAATTGCGGAGAGAATCTAAAAAAAGTTTCCTCAACTACGAATCTCTTTTTTGAAAATTGCGTATGGGGAATATTGCGAGTTTTAAAAGTCGCGACGAGTTTCTGTATCTGTCTGGATATTCGCATTTATTGTCACCGACTACGATACTTTGAATAATAATAGACTCGAATAGTAAATATCTAGATCTAGTAAAAATAAAATTAATGCAAAATTAAGGGCACGTTTCGACAAATTGTGATTACATTCAACAGATGTACTGTTCTCTTCATTTATCCCGAAGAAACTCGGTCAACCATAACTTCTTTCTTACTCTCTCTCTCTCTCTCTCTCTCTCTCTCTCTCTCTCTATCTCTCTCTCTGTTTTTGAATATAATATAGATAAGAAAAATTATTATATAATTGATGTAAATTCTTTAATTAAAAATCAAATCTTTACATTCGTACTAATAATAATGATACACATATAACAAATAGAATCACATTTTATACATAAAAAAATTTGAAAAGTTACGCAAAGTTCAAGCAACTATCATGATTATTTTTAAACTATTGATAAAAAGTAAATTATACTTATACAATTAAGCTTAAAAATTTATACAATATTGTTTGCAAATATATAATAATTAACAATGTTTAACGATAAAATAAAATTCTTTAGACAAAATAGAATATATATCCTTCTTCTCTCTCTCAAAAGATCACAATTAAAAAATGTATTCAAGACGCATTATTCTCATTATTATACAAAATCGATTAATTCAAATGTATTTTTCAATTATGTATCTCCAACAGAAGAAATTAATAAACAACTGAGAGAGTCATAGCCAATTCCTCGGCAAGCAGAATATTGGTTGCTAAATTTGCTATATGAAATAAATTCAAACAATTATATCTTCAACTACGTGCCACTATTTTTAGCAGACTTACAACGTAGCGGTTCTAACAATTCGATAATCAAATACCTTGATAGAAGAAATGAATTATCGATAGAGATTCTGAAATAAATGTATTTAAGTGATCGGCACAAAGTCTAAACTCGATCCACTTGTTGATCACAGTTCACAGAACGTCATAATCAAATGATTATGAAATAATTACAAGTACAGATGAGATAAAATAAAAATCGACGAAATAGAATCACGTTTCTATGATCACAAAAGAAAATTTAAATTCGATACTCACGAGACACCAGATACGGTTGAAAAAAAAAAAAGGCTACAGGAGAATGAAAATTTAACGCACACTCACGATTGACGGTATTGCCAAAGCGATCCGTGAGAATCTGACACGCGGCGACTGAGCGTCGCGAAAACTTGAACCCCTCGCGGATCAAAACCCCTCGAGTTCAGGCATTAAGGAAAGAAGCATGCGTCGAACTTCCCTTTCCACGGCAGCTTAAGCGGACGCATATACACACGCGCAGCACCTCCGAATGCAAGGCTAATATAGATATGTAACGTTTAAACGAGGAATAAATTGATATGACGAATAGCCGCCTAAAATTGTTTCAAAATTAGCGCAAAGATATATTCGAAGGGTTAATAGAAATATGGCCGCATGGCGTGCCCGCAGGCATGCGGGTACGTGCGCGCATCGATTTTTTGAGTGCCGCGTGGGCGTGTGCGTGCGTGTGTGTTTCGTAAACCTCGAACGTGCTTGCGTAGGGAAACGAGGGAAAAGGAGAGAACGGAGGAAAAGAGAATAAAAGAAATTCGCTTTCAAGAGAAACGAGAGCGGTGATTTTCATCGCGGTTCGTAGAACGCGCCACGGGCAGAAATGCAGAGCATTTCCACGGACGCGAGATGAGAAGGCGTGAAGGTCACTCGCGTGGTGGTTCACTCGCATTTCGAAATCCTTTGACTCCTCTTAATACGGCAGAGTGGCGCGAAAAGAAGCACTTTGTGCGCGCATGTAAGTGTGGAAAGCACACAAGGGAAACTTACGATCGAACAATGAGGATTTGAAATGGCGAAATGGCGCGGTTGTAAAACAGTGGCAAGAGGTTCCTCCATGAGAAAGAGAGAAAGTCGAATGTAATGAAGAAAGCTATTCACAAATATAAAAATACAATAGCCATACGTTAAAATGCAATTCCACTCACCTTGACGTCGACTATTTTAAATTTTCACTCAGAAGTCAGTCAAAAGAGAGTTTCGATATTAATTAGCGTCACTACTTAATTAATTTTCACTTTAGTAATTTGTTCGTTGAACTTTTGCTCCTTTCGCTCTTAGAATATATACACGCGCGGGAAAAATTTTATTTTAAAAAAGAGAGTCATCACTCAGAATGAAATCGCAACGTATCGATTTAGTTCTCATCGTGAATAGCGCGCGAGTCGCCAAAGGATGACCGTGCGATCGAATTCCGCGACTGACTACCACCTTTTTCAGTGGTTCTGACATTTATATAGACGGCGAGAAACTGTCAATGCGCGGCCGATGACGTTAACTTAATGTTTACGTTGACGGCAAGACGTTCATGCCGGCACCCTTGCAGAGATATGTTATCGCGCGAACTCTGTTGCTTCATAATTTATATACTAGAAGGAAGTGCAGATCTGCAAATAGATTATCCGGCTGTTCTTCTGTCCAGTTGTGCATTTGCTATTGTTGTTACTAATAAGCATTGCTGGCGCGAGGTGATGCAATGCCAGTCTTTCCGCGCTGAAATCCTTTGAAGAGTATTTTCTAATCCCACTTTACAGTCACGTTTTATTACTAACAAAGTATTAACTAAATCATTGAACGACGTTTGCAAACTTCTAAAGAAAAAATATATCAATTGCAGTAGAAAAATGTATTGCCTTTTTAGAAAGGTGACTTATGGACTAAAACATCTTAACTACTTCTTATCGAGATAATATTCGTTATTCATGTTGTTTTTATCATTTTTAGATAAATAGATAAATCATATTTACTACAATGTCTTGTGAATTTATTTTGTCTTAAATTAAATTAAATTAAATAATTTATCTATAATTATTAATTAATTATTAATAATCTATAAAATTGTTTAAAAAATAAATATATTTTAAATAATAAATATTAATAATAGATAGTAGCACAGAACTTTAAATATAATTTGATTAATTTTTGAATTCCTTTTTTATTAAGCCTTTTCTTAATAATTAAGTCTTTATTATTATCCAATCGTTAAAGATAAAAGTCGAATGTACGATATTATTATTATCAAATTTAATTTGAAATTTCAAAAATTTAACATATTGTTCTGTAAAATATAAATATACATTTTTATGTGAGCATGTGTGTGTGTGTGTGTGTGTGTGTGTGTGTGTGTGTGTGTGTGTGTGTGTGTGTGTGTGTGTGTGTGTGTGTGTGTGTGTGTGTGTGTGTGTGTGTGTGTGTACATATAAATTTGAATCGCAAAAGAATATGCATGTACGTGAATACGCAGAAAGATGCATTACAATTTCTAAACTTGTGCGTATATTTTTAATATTAATATATAAACTATTATAATTTAATATGTATAAAACAATAAGTTTCCTTTCCTTTTTAATTTAAATTAATCAAGAAAATTTGGAAACAAATGGCATAGCACTAACTTTGCAAATTCAGAATGTTGTTACAAGTGTTGTATCATTTAATAAAAAAAATAGACTTTCCTTTGTAGATTACGTTGGTATTTTCTTATCTGCAATTTTTACCAATTTTTCTGCTCATCAAATGGTTAATCGATTAAATAATGATAAGTAATTGAATCAATAACTGTCTCGTTTGCTCGCAAACTGTATCGCAAACACTTTTGCTACATCTGCGCGGTTTTACGCTTCGTTTGTTTAATCTATCGTCAAGGAAACTATGATGTATGAATTTACATGTGCATTGAAAAAGAATTATTGTAGTGAGTGCTAAACAATAAATCGCTTATCCTTCTGAACAGACAACTTTTTTTTAATGCACACACATGTGTAAATATGTTCTAACAAAAAATATAAAAGCAAATAGTTTAAAATAAAAAAAGGAAATGCCGTATGTATGCTACAATATTAAGTAACCGTTATTATTTAAAGTAGATTAAAAGACGTTTATTTGTATTTAATCGTAGATACGAAATTTCTAATTTCTCTAAATAACGATTAACTCTATTTTGTTTCTTTGTATATAATTCATTTTATAATTTTTTTCTCATTATTATAAAAATCAGTTTTTAATCAAAAGGACAGCAAGTAACAATTTTAATAGTGATGCAATTTTAGTTGTAATGTATTATTTTACTTTAGTATATTTCAAAGTATTGGAAATTTTGTTAAATTATTAATTTACATTTATTGTTATATATTTATGTATTAATAATTATTAATAATTATTATATAATATATAAAGTATACATAAAATATCTACAGTAACATAGGTCGTCTCACTAGCAGCATTATATTGTACGTTAACGACAATTTACTACCAGGTGTGTGCGACTGATAATCAAATCCACTGCTGCGCGACGTCGGAATGATATAAGCGGTGGATGCGCCTTTTTTTAACATCTTTTTAACGAGTTGCCACGAATGTGCTGATTTTCTCAAGAGGAACGACACGAGCGAACATGACAACACTTTTACGTAAATCATTTGTGCTGTTCGATAACTACTGTTCGATAACTACTGTTCGATAACTGCATCATAAAGAAGCATGATAAATTTATTATTTTACTAATTTTTACTGCTTTCAAAAAGTATTGTGACAATTCTGATAAAAAAGAAAGAAAAAAATGTAAGTATAATAAAGGTAATAATAGTAAATTAAGATAATAATTAAATTAAAATTTGCAGTTTTTATATGTTGCAGCTTAATTCTTATTATATATTATTATATATATTATTAATTTATGTATATATATTGGTATGTCTATATCATACGCATTATATAGAACATAAGTGTCTTTTAACAAATATTACTTATATAAAAATCCGCTCGCTGAATTTGCATAAAAAATACATAATTTAATCACAAAATTGTTCATTAGTTATCCCTTTTAATTTCATTAATTACTTTTGCATTTTAAAAGAAATAAAAAATTTCATAACAAGCTTTTTCGCGTGAGTAAGAACGAATTGATTACATGTATAATCAGAATTCTGTCGGAAGAAGATGTTCTGCGTTTATGACAGGTATGACATAAAGATAATGCAGAATATGACAGTATGTCGGTATGTAATTGTAAATCAAAATGTTTTTTTGCTTAAAGAATCAAAAATATGGTATTGATAAATCATGTGTTATTATAAAAAATCTTGCAAATTTAGTATAAATTAGTATTGTTTTTATAAAACCTTTTGCTTTATAAGCAATGTTATAATTTAGCTATAAACGCGTACATTACACAATATTTTAACTTTTAATTTAATATGATATTTCCACGATGTACTAAGAGGAAAAGATCATAAAAAATTCCTTCAGATAATTGCGACAACAATATGCGACTATGTGCAAATTTCTCTTATCAGAAAAAGTAGTATAGTTTTAATTTCAAAGTCAAATTTGCACGATGCACGCTATTTGAGTCACTAGTTAATTATAGAAATCAGTAAAGAAACGGAAAAATGCAGCAATACCTTTTATATATCTATTGAATTTCCGTAGAATAATACCTAGTAATAATTTTAAATTATTCTTGTTTAAATTATTCTTTATTTACAACAGAATTATCGTAGGATAAATAAAACTTTATTTTATTATATCTTTTTAGATATATTATATTCTAATCTATACTTCATAAAAAGATATATATTGAATTATATAAATTTTATAACTATATTACACACACGTGTGAGATTTAAAGTTCTTATTAAAAGTAAGATTAAGCAAGTTTTATTAAATAAAGAATCAGGATATTTGTTGTTTGTTAATAATAATTTAAAACTTTCTTTTAAAGTTTTACTGTGATAGATCGGGACCGAGAGAAATGTTTGCCGGTAATTTTTATAGAAGAGATTAGATATTATATTATATACATATAGGCAAAATTGCTAAGAATTTTTATTTAATAAGCGATAGTATTATTTTTTTTGTCAATGTTTACTATTTCTACAAAAACGCAAATTTACTAAAAAAAAATGATAAAAAGATTAAAATTCTAATTCTACTATATTCATGTTTCCTTACTTAGTTCTCCTTGCGACAAAATATTATATTTTTATGAAAACGCAACAAGATTAGTATATAAATTTAACACTCATTACTTAAGTAAGAAATATTATAGATCCATTGAGTACTCGTTACTTTTTAAAATTTATCTTTAATGATTTAATTTTGATAAATATTAGTTTTGATAATTATCGATATT